CTCTTTCCTCATCTTGAAAATCTAATAACCTATTGTTCGCAGCATCTCCTCTGCTTCGTCCAAGGCTGACGCGTCCTTATTACAATAGATCGGCTACAATTGATTTGTCTTTAGAAGCCTGAGGGAAACAAAAAGGCCCCATTGATTTTCTGGTTTATAGTGAGGGCATGTGAGAAGTTTGAGCTTGTGGTGAAGTAGATGGCATGACACCGGCTTGTGTACGCATGAGAGGGTGCAGGGGTGAGGAAACACAGCTGTGTATGTGGGATGTTGGTTTGAGTGGGTGTGCTCTGAGCCAGGGCTTCTATTGGAGATAAACAGGGCCATTTGTCTGGTACCGCAGCAGCTCACCTGTCGTTATAACTCAAGTGCCAGGCGGTGTCGGCCCGGTCATCTATCAATCACACACACGTCAGGATGCCACAACTGAACAAGAAGCTGCTGACAACGGAGGAGATATGGTACAACGACCACAGGGACACGTTTTGTTAGTTTTGGAGTGAACAGAAAAACAAAACCCACACAGTGCTTCTGTTTGGATTTAACCTTGCAGAAAGTGCCTTGAATGTCATAACTGGATGAAAAATGCTAAACTTCATTCAAATAAAAATTTTGTTCTCCCGATACAGTTAACATTTTGTGGCAAGCTAGATTAAGCTTCTTGCCAGAGTGACTTGACATTGAACACAACAGCAGCATGTCAGCAAGGAAGGTAGTGGGAAGTAACAACTAGTTTGTTGAATACTGAGCATAGGCATTGCTAGACCCTTTTCACTGGGGCAAGTGCCCCTGTATCCATGTGCTGTGCCCCAGTATTAAAATTGTCAAGACCCCTTGGCATCGTTTTTGGACGTGTAGGGCTCCGCGGTTAACTTAGCAACAACTGACTAAGTCTACAACGTCCGGTCAAGATAGTAATGATATACATGCAACGTCCGGTTACACTTTCAAAATAAAACTACTGGCTGATGTGAAAAGGCATGTTGTTAATGATATGAAATGTCGCAAAACACAAGTCAGTGTTGAAAACGAGTGTTTACAATGTTGAGAAGGCAAAGAGGGACTATCCTTCTGGGCACAAGAAGAGAAAATAAGTCAATGAGAGTGACTTTCGGGAACAGCAGTCAGGTAAACTTGTGTTCTCTCCTCTGAAAGTCCAATGTGAGCAGGTTCATGTGTAGCCTAGCTGCAGTGAGGCAGCCTCTGTCTTGCTAACCCAGCTGAGCAGCGCTACTAGGTCTGTTTTTGTCTTGGTTGCTTGCCAGACTGTGACTGAACAATATAAGAGTAAAATACAACTATTTATTACCTTTGATAAACGCAGACGGGCAACAATGTTTAATTACTTCAGTATGGAAATGATCACTACCTCGCACGTGAACATGCAACATATTCAGTCAAGTCATAGTATAAATTAAAGCTGGACAATAAAACAATAATTATCACAGTATAATTTTTCTCAATAACAATATAACAAATGTTCAATAAATATTCAATAAATGTTTGATCTTATTCATTTGAATCATGAATGAATTAGCACTTACTTTTTCTATTAAGATATTTATTTTATTGAGGAAAAAGAGACTTAAAAAGATTTAACTTAATTTTACTCGTGCAGATTTGTGGAAGAAAGTTGTTTTTTTTTCTACCTCAGATTTGTGAAGTGATCCACTGTTTGGTAAGTGATTTTCATGTTCTGACCATAAAGAATAGTTAAAGCCACAATTAACTATCTGGTTTCTTCAGCTTTCAGTAAGGATAGAAATCATGATTTGGCATTATCAATATCGAATGATATCGTGATAACATTTTTGGCCATACCACCCATCCCTAGTATAAATAGTATTTTAGCTTTGAAAATGTTTAAGGTAACCTGGCCAGTTTGTATGGGCCTGATGCAGCTGATAATAATTTATAGTAAGACATAGTAAGTATTTATATCTATTATTTATCGGGGCTATGCTTAAATTTGTCAGTAGAGTAGATGCTGGATCATAAGTCAGTACCAGCACAGACCCAGTCCAGACACCTTTAGCAGATCACACAGACCCAGGCGAAACACAAGCAGCCTCAGCCAGTACGAGCACAGCCAGAGATATACAGATGTGCAGCAGCAGTCTTAACAGACTTTGGGAGGATTTCTCTAAAAGAGGTTTCCATTCAGTCTTGTAACAGAGACAGACTGTTTTAAAGGTAGTAGTAAGAGCACTGCAGTGTCAGCAGTGGCAATTTGTTTACATGGCTCACAGGTAACATAGCAGACATAAAATAGGTATGTGTGCTTATGCTCCGGTCAAATCCCTTTCTGACATGACCAATATTAGGAAGGTTAAGGCACATACTAACGAATTTCATACACTTCAATCAAAAATAAATAAAACATTTACATGAGGGATGTGGGGGCCTGTGCCCCAGAAGAGCTTCATGTCTAGCAACGCCCCTGATAGTGAGTGAAAATTACTTAAATCAGCCACCTTCAGGAACAAAAATGTTCGACTTGTGAGAGGACAGAATTAAAAAATAATGGTCAAAATCATATCGTATAAGAGCTACATATACTGTAAATACAACAATAAGAATCATACCACCACTTCATACAATCAAATAAAATTTATATTTACATGTTCAGGTTGTCTGTACATGTAAATGTTGAAAATTTCTGATATTTTTTCTAAATAAAAAGTGAATCTGTGTGTTTCCATCAACCACCTTTATGCAAATATATTCAATAAGAGGCGACAAGATGACATATTTAACCACTAACTGACACATTGGGCCTTTCCAAAACTAGACCCTCGCCACTTCCACTTCAACACGGAGTGGTTGGAGTCACCCTCACAGCCAAATCGAGCTCCCTAACCCGCGTAGGGTTCAAATACAGCGACAACTTTCGGACAAACTACCCTCTCCCCCCAGCATAAATAGGATCTGACGTTACCACTGTAGCCTAGGCCTACTCACTGCTATAATACGTGTATCAAATAAACAAAAGTTGTATTAAGATTCAGGACTGATGTTGAGGGAAAGTGTGTTTTTTTTTTTTGCAATAACAAAACTGAAAGCATGTCATTTATTCCGTGTTTGTGTTGAATATTTCTTTAAGAACGTGACTTTAGACACCACGAAAAAGAAATAATATATTCTTTTATGAAAAGATTGATATTCATTGTAAAGAAAAGCCTAGGCTATATATTTAAACCTCTTTATCTTATATAAAAAATATTACATTCACAAATGCAACATTTCAATATAAATCAAATATTATATTGAAGCATTATATAGTCTGAAGAATTTTTAAAAAGTTGTATAAAGACTTTACTATTTTTCTTTGATGCCTTTGTTGCTTGTTACATGATCCTCCTGTGTATCTAGTTTTATTTTATTTATTTATTTTTATTTTGGCTGAAGATTTTCGCATGAGATGAATACTATTCAATAACAACAACAGCTTAACTGTCTATCAGACAAGAGCCTTATTTAATTAAACACAATATAACATTTGGGCTGGCGACCTGTCCAGGGTGTACCCCGCCTTTCGCCCAAAGTCAGCTGGGATTGGCTCCAGCCCCCCCAAAACCTGTAAAACCTGTACACAGGACAAGCGGTTGACGATGGATGGATGGATGGATGGATGGATGGATGGATGGATGGATAACATTTGGGCTACGTTATTAACCTGTGAATGGTGATATGAAATGTTAGTGTAGGAATTAAAAAAGTCATGCGGAACTCACATGTGAAAGAAAGGTCCCCCATTGTGCAGCAAAGGGTGTTACACACCTTCAACAAGCCAGCATCGGTGCTCACTCTGCATCTGAGGGTTAAACAACCCACTACCACTCCGCCCTCACTGGTTTCGGATGCCACTCAATGTGTAGACAGGGGTAACATGCAAAAAAGGGCCCCTGATTGGGCTGAATTCTTCTTTTCTTGTACCCTCTGGTAGAGTGGAGGCATGTAACAGTGAGTGACATGAATGCTTTATCTGCACTACAGCAGGCTGAAGCAGGCACTGTAATGTTAAGGTGTATGTGTAAAATCTGTTACAATCTCATCTAATCTTTTTTTCCTAAATGCTAACTTCTCTACTTTATCCAGGTGTAAAAACGTTTTTCTCCAGAATATCTGGGGTTTTCCATTCTCGGTAGAAGTTGTGGTTGGCTCTGAAGACATCCTTGTAGTGTGAAGCCAGGAGCAAAAGCTGAATATGGCTGAAGTGATAACTTAAACATAACGATATACACCCACCTCTTTCTTAGAAACATACAAAAGAGATCCTTCCACCCAATGAACTGTAACTCCAGGCCTAGCATGACTACCCTTCATCATCTGCCCGCAGAAAAAAAGTCATGGGGAAAGGTCAAAGCATGACGCGCGCAGAGAAACAGACAAGTGAATGTTCTATTGATTAACTCATTTATGTGTCTCTCTAAAGCTTTGACTCACCTCCAGACCTTTCCTCTGCTATAGTTGTGTCATCTGAATGCAGCAGTATGCTGCAAGAATCTATGGCATGAGTCAACGGCTCAGACACAAATGCTTCAGGGTGGGATTTACAGTCACGCGGCGACTGGAAATGGTGGCATTTTTACAATGGTGTATTTGTGGGAAGAAGAGACACTGTTTAAAATCCACTGCTGTTGAGCAGCTAAAGGGATTTTCAAACTCACTCACTCCTGCTTTCTACCTTTTTCACCTGTGTCTCCGCATGACTCCGGTTTACTGAAATCCTCCTGAAGCTATAAAAGTATCACACACAGAATCATCCAGTTAACTGAAAATATGTTCAACAGTAGCCTAATGGTAGCCTATTTGTATTAACTTTGTTCAACTACAGTAAAATGGAGCTCTTACTCTTTAGCACAGGGTGCTTTTGTCACTCACAACCCTTCTCTAACTGTCTGTCAAAAACTAAATGAAACAATGTTTGCTTGTTTGCTTCATCTGCCCCCTCCCCAGACCCTTTATTCACCCCCCCCCATTTGCCCTTTCCCTCCGTCTTCCCATGTTTCATTCCTGGGGCTCAGCAATTGTTCTTGTTATCGCTGAAGAGTGCACAGGGTTTTTGTGTCAGTGCGTATGTGTTTGACGACGAGGCAGTGATGAAAAATGAGGCAGGTGGCGGCAATTTATCAACACTTGAGTGGCGCATGGCGGCGTTCTGGCAGAGGGAGGCGAGGCAGCGCAAAGCACGACGCTGAGGGTTTTTCTTTTCTCCTCCGCTGCGTCAGACAGACAGCAGGGAGGATATATAAAGAGAGGAAGAGAGAGGGGAGGGGAGAAGGAAGGGTCTTTCCTCTATCTGCAGGCTTCCACATCAAGCATCGGCTTTTCTCTCTCTGCAAATCCCTTCATACTATCCCCATCACTCCCTTCATCCTCCTTCGTTCATCCCAGGGAGTCAGTCTTTAAAGTTTTGCTCTGCAAAATGTGCAACGTGCGCTCCCTTATTCCGCCTTTCTATGCAATTTGTATCTCTGTTGGTGTGGAAACAGATGACTGAATGCTGATAGAAATGGGGAATGAGAGGAAAGAGAAACTCTTTCACAGCCCAATGATGTCATGTCATCTCTCTCTCTGACTCCCACCCACCGTTTATCTTCGAAAACCATCTCTTGTGTAATCTCCCCCCCTATCATCTGTGCTGTCAACCCCCTAAATAAGGATGCACGTGCGCACGCACATAAACCCCCTAGCCATCCTCACTTTCTGACCTTTTCGCAGTTTATCTTCTTTCCTATCATCCTATCATCTCTTCCTGCACTTCAATGCATAAACACACAAATGCACACAGAGAAACACAGATACTGTACACGCACATACACACTGTTACTGTACTATGTGGGCCCCGCTCGATGCCTGCAGTTGCCTCAGGCACACTGTGCAGCTCTCTCCACTGGGAGGAACACATGGAGGGAAAGGTGAAAGTCAAGTGATACAAAGCATGAAAAAAGAGGGAGAAAGCATGGATAACATGCCTCCACAAATGCCAGACAATCAATTAACAAAAAAAACAAAACAAACTCACCTATGGGGCGGTTCTCTTTATCTGCTGGACAGCTGAATTTATTAGGTAGCAAGGCGTTCCAGTGGATCAGGGAGAAACCCCCCTCAGTCACACAGTGGTACATATAAACATTTAAGGGTTTTACTATAATCCTCAGTGCCTGTGCTTTGTTTTACAAATAAGTCATAGACCCTGTTTTTTCTTACCTTTGACATGCTAAAACAATTTACAACAATGTATATAATGTAATTCCTATGTATGGTAATGCAACCCATGTACCCACAGCACATACACGTGATGTCCTGTGTTTTGTTAGGTTGCGCAAAATATTATAATAATATTAATAATAGTTCAAAATGACTAATGTCTCCATCTGTTAATATCTCAACAAAAAAGCAGAATGAGCCAGCGATTTCATCTTAGTGCCAGATAAAGGAGGAGTCACACAGAACAGATTAGAGGGGGCTGAATATATAAAGCACAAACAAATTTTGATGAAGCTGAGCCAGTGGAAGTGGAACAAATGAGGGAACAATAAGTGGGGATGGTAAAACAAGGACAAATAAGAAAGGGAAACATGAGAACAATAGAGGAAATGCCTGGGGGATTCTTAAATGGAGAAAAATGACTTCATCATAACCCCAGCTTCAATTTCCATATCAAATTAAACAGGGAGCATTTTCTGTTCATGCACATACAAACAGAGAGGAGGAGAATGAGACGACAAATTGTGGAAGAAACAGCACAGCAAACAGCTATGATGCAGTGACATTTAAATTACTTTGCACTCAGCACTTAAACAGGATAGGATAAAACATATTTGATGCAAGGATTCATGGGTCTTTGAGGAAAAGTAAAGGGCTATTCTAACTCTGTGCTGGTCTGCTTGACTGTAGTTTTGTAGTCTGCTAATGCAGCATATAAAACGGGTTGATTGAATTAATGGACTCTCCATGCATTTATTTTTAAAACAAAAGTTGTGCTAAAAAAACTGCCAAAAGTATGCATTTACAACAAGATTCAATGATAGATTTGCACTCTTTAAAACATGAGTTTCAAAGCAGTATTAGTCAGTGTTTTTGGCCGCTTGGGAGCAGAGCACAACAACCTTAACATCACACACGTTTGACGTAGTATGGCCTTGTTTTGGATAACATATTAGCCAAAAATGGGCTGTTTACACATCCAGCAGACACAGAGCAACATTAGCATTTATATAGAGTCAAGTTTCTGGCCACCTCAGCAGCTCAGCAAGGAAACACAGGAAGAGGGAATTTTGCAGTTAGCTAGGAAGAGGACCTCTTCAGGCAAATATAATTATATATGGGCCTCACATTAGCTTCAGATAACTTCCCCATCACTTATGTTGATGTTGCATGTTGCTTTTACTGGCCAGTATGAATGGGGAGAAAGATTACAGAAAGCCAAACCTGTAAACAAACTTATGGGCACCTGACTTTTAAGACAGACTTGTGAACTTAACCTTTAATAGTCTACATTAACTTTGATTTTCTGAATTCATTGTGTATGCCTGTGAAACAAAGAATGAGTGGAGAACAGAGAGACAAAAAGCTCGAGAAAGATTGAGAAAAAAAAAATAATTAAAGCTTTGTGCCCCTGAGTCACCTGAACATGTTTTATTTACTGTCCCTTAGAAGCAGAGTTGGCTTCAGAACTGTTTGCTCCACAGTCTGGGTCAGTCTGGGCCCTGCACCTGATTACAAAGAGCCAGAGGCGACAGTCCTTCAGGACACACTTCAGCCTCTCAAACACACAAACACACACACACACACGTTTCACAGGATGACATTTTCGGAGACTGGGAACACTTAAATGTATTATTTAACTATAACAGACTAACTCTAACTTTAACATTACTTTATTTACATTTTGAAATGAGAACTAACACGTTCTCTCTTTTAAAAGCTGAATTCATAAGAAATAAAATGCTGAATTTAATATCATCAGTGTTGCTTCCGTAAGGTGACCAGATTTCTAAAATGAAAACCAGCGACATTTTTGGTTTGGTGCTCGGTATGTTAAAAAATTAAAATTAAAAATATAATGTTATTATATATGAAATAAAAAAGGGCTACGTAATAATACATTTTGGTCTTGTTATATTCTGTCAAATATAACTCTTCTGAATAAAAGTAAGTCATTTTGAGGCAGAATCTACCTTTCAGTCAATAAGTAGAAGCTACATTCACTTTCTGGCAAAAAATCTGATTTCAGGTCTCTTAGCACCTTATACGGTGTATAATTTACACACAGTTAAAAACGGGGACATTTCCGGGGACAGCTCCACACGGGGACAGGCCACCAAAACCAGGGATTGTCCCCAGAAAACGGGGATGTCTGGTCACCCTATTCCATAGTCTCATGTGGCCTAATGTAACCAGTAGCTTCTGTTAGCTAATGTTAGCTAACTTTAGATAGATGTTGTAAACAACGGTGCTGAGTTCTCTGACTTCATGACTCTTCTATACTTGTGTTGCTGTTAAACTATACAGCATGTACCCTCATCCCATAATGTGTTGCCATAGTTACATAGGATCACATCAACAAAACCCAGTTCACAAATCAAACCAATTGACATAATGCTGAGTGAAGCTGCAGTAACATCTACAGTGCCCAGTACGACTCGGAGGAGGGTGAAAAAAGTCCATAATATGGTGCATTAAAAATTACTGAATTTATCTGCACAAAAAAGCAATTGAAAAATGGCGTTGTCAACAGAGATAACACATAAAAACACAAATACAAAATATATGCATGCTTCTTTGTCCAAAATCAAAGCTTAACTGATGAAAACTGCATGTGTTAAATAAAATACGTCTCTCCTGACACTGCCAGGTCCTGCAGAAATTACTAATTGTCACTAACAACTAATTACTGACCTATGTAAAAAACACACGCATCCATCAACTTTAACATGTTGATCTGAATTACCCTGAAGTGAAGTGAGATGAGGTGAAGCTGTTTAAAAAATTCCAGGCACACAGTCCGTGATATAGGGTGGAACTGGTGTTTCGGGGAGGAAAGAATGGGGCAGAGGAGGGCGATGTAGCATTCACTGCCTCCACTCAATCCAGAGCTGAATAGTACCTACAGCAACAAGCTGTGTCCTTGTACCACTCTAACTTTTTAATGAGAGCGTCTGCTCCCAACAGAGCTTGTCGGTCCAACCTTGGGTCGACTGGCTCCACAACATTTTCCATGACATTTTATAAATGCTTTTGAAAGGGCAGCAAAGTTTGTATAACAGCGTGAAGTTGATTGAAACAATATCCATAGCTAAAACTGAAGAGTCTCCGGATGATTTATTGATAGTTTGGAACTAAGTTACATTGATATTACAATCTGAGACTAACCTCAATATAATTCACAAACAAGAAAAAGCAAAAATTTAAGTTATTGTTTTCTAAGGGAATTCTGGTAGTCCAGTAGTCACGACACATACCAGATCCCACAGTTCAGAAGGTTGAAAAGCTTCATCCCACTGTTTGTTCACTCTCTCAAATATTTCTGTTAGAGGAGGAACTGATGATTGTTGGTTTCCACAGTCAGAATAACTCCCTTACAAGTGACTAACATTACAATATAGTATAACATGAAACAGCACAAACACAAGCTGCTATGGAAGGTCAAAGGAGAAGGGCAAGGAGTAAATGTAAATGCTGCGTATTTGTATAGTACCTTTATAGTCTTTTCGACCGCCAGGGGCAAATCGGGGTTCAGTATCTTGCGCAAGACCGCCGACCTTCCGATTAACGGGAAATCCGCTCCAACTCCTGAGCCACAGCCCACGTGCAATACAAAAGAAATGCCTCTAAATACAATGGATTTTTATCTTTTTATTAAATTGTAGTTTACTTTGTGCTTTGTTTAAATGGAGAATCATATAATCTGCAAACCAGCAGAAAGGGGGATAGGAGTGATGAGGCAAAAGGCCTGTAGTTATCAGTAAAATCACATTGCCGTTCAGCAATAAAAAGAAGAAGTTAAATCCAGAAGAAACCAGCATATCACTTCATCACTCTAAACACTGATAAGTTTTTATCCTCTTGCCTTGACTCCTTTCTTTTTCTCTCGTACTCAGGCATTGATTTTTTCACACTCTCGCTCTTTCCCTCCCTCCCTTTGCACCCCTGTTGTTTCCCTCCTCTGTTCAGATCTCTTCATCTCCTCTCCTGCTGCTCTGTCTTTCATGTCTCTCTCCTCTCTCTTTGACAGAGACAGAAACTCTATTTCTCTTCCTCTGCCACCCAGGGACACAGACCTCAGTCCGCTGTCGAGCCGCTCACTCCCCTAGACTATCTGCAGGTGAATAAGTTTGGTTTCTGTAGAGCTCTGGGCGACAGTACAGTAACGGCTGATTTTTTTACCTTCTTGCTCTGTCTTGACAAGAAAATCTGTTTTAAATAATAAAAAGCTAGTAACCTGTGCTCATAATGTGTCCAAAACTATGGCGAGTTTGTAGGTTTGAAAGCCTTTACTGCTGCTGTTTGTTCACTACATGTACAAATGAACTTCTTGCTTTTGCATCATATCTCACAGACCACAGTTATGAAAGACTGAGTTGGAAAACTGCTCACGTCATCCTCCCAACTCTAAGATATCACTGGGAGATCTCTCGTGTGGTGAAAATAATTACAGTTTCAAGTGTCAACAAACGGGTGACCAGACTGGATGGCCTCTACATCTAAAGGAAATAATATAACCTACTCAGCTAAAACAAACATGTTAAAAATGGCTCATTGAGGGTTAATTTTAAACTTATTAACCAATGTTGCTGGGCAATCTTGCCGGTGGCGTCCGACTATATTTTTAACGGATAGCGGCGGGGCGGGTGGCGGAGTGGTGGAGGAAGGGGATTAGTAGTCTTTACTCATTACCACTGACGGCAACATGGCCCAGCACCATTGCCCTAAAAGTTGCTCTGTGTATCATCAGCTTAAGAATAATACGTGAACTCTACCAAGTTGGAGGTTTTCCTGTTCTTCCTGTGCTTCTGACATGATTTATACTAGCATGTATTTATACTAGCTTTTAAAGCATCTTTAATAGCATTTAGCTACACGAGCCACACTCGTGGCCACAGTTCTGCTTGAAATGCAGTCAAATTCTGTAGGATCACTTAGTGTAGTTACTGTATGTTCGAACTTAAATTTGGTTGCAATTGCACATGTTCAAGAGTGATAGCACTTTCTGGCATTTCTGGCATTCAGCAATACGGTAGTACAACAGTATATTATAGGGACAGTATGGTATAACGGCATATAACAAGCCAAGGTCGATCCAGCCTGTGAGACAACCAAGTAGGCCCTCCACATGCTTAGATAACAAGGTAATGATGTCACATACAATGTGTTGTCCAGCTATAACATAAATTAAGTGATCACATGCCTGAATTGTATACTGTATCCCACCGACTCTGGCTGCCAAGGTACAGTGTGTCTGATTAAATGTGCCTGCAGCCTGTTGCGTGAGTAACAGGGTAAAGCTGGGTTAAGGCCGAGAGGAACCTGCTACAGGCCTGCCTAGTCAGCACAAAGCCTCTCTCCCTGTCTCAGTCTCTTTAAAGAGAGTCTGATCAAAGAGCGGAGTGCGCTCAGAGGATTCACCATGTCAGGGAGCTTCTGAGCGGATGAACACGGACATCCCATTATGTTTCCCAGCGGGGTAAGCTGAGGGATGCGAGAGTGCACACATCCGCGTGTGCCTGCGTGTGAGCAACTGTGAACAAACCTGCGAGTGTGAGCTCACACAAGCAGCTGCACTTCGGCCCTTGTTCGATGTTCAATTCTATGCACGTTTGAAAATACTTGGGTTTTGGAGTGTGGGCGGATGATGATTGAGTTTTCGCAGCGTCTGAGTATGTTAACGGTCTGCGGCTTTGATCGGTAATGAGGAAGATAGGGTCGAACTGAGCGGCGCTGCCTGTTATTTCAGATGAGAATCACAGGATCAAAGGCTTTTTCTCTCGTCATCATTCCTCCTCTCTTTCTGCCTGGGTGTCTCTGTTTAACCTCAGGCGTCCTTGGCTCATCTCTGCCCTGTCCACACCCCACAGAAAATGCAGAGAACCTGTCAAAGGCTCTTAAACTCCCCGCCTTGCTGCAGCAGGATGGAGGTGTGTACAGCCACTGAAACAGGAAGACTGGGGGTCAAGTTCCCATCTTTATGCAAAGAATTTAATCCCAACAAGCTGCAGGACTGCTGCTCTGTTGCTGACCTCTCACCTCCCTGCTAATAGGGGATACAGCTAAAAGCCCTTACAGAGATCAGGACCTGTGCTATGTGGACTACACAGACTTTGTATTGTATGAGTTTGATTTCACAGGTTTGATGTAATATAGTCTCTTGTTTTATCCTTCCTCTGTAGCTACGGTGTGCTCCAGCTAATTAGGCAGAAAGATAATGTAGAGAAACATTTTTTGGGGCAAATTCTAAAACAATCTCCATTTTCCTGAAGAGTGTTTATCCTGCTTTAAAATAAATTAGTTTAATTTAAACAGAAAATTAGATGAGAATGATTAGGCCTTCACCCAACAAACTTGACTTTACTTTAGGATTTGGGGAAATGCCTTAGTGAGTCACTTACTGTGGCTCTTAAGCCTATTTTAAGACGGTGTAAATGACTCCTCTCTCACAGTGTGTGACGGTACCACACATACAAGTTATTTGCGTGTGTGTGTGTGTGTGAGTGTGTACATCGGAGTGTGAGAACCCACATGTGTGATATGTATTTTGTCACTTACCTCAGTCTTTGACTCATGCATCTGTAGCTGGGAAGTGTGTGCGAAGGTATTCTCTGGAGCGACAGTCGGCCTGTGGAAGAGGAGAGGGTGGGTGAGAAAGAAGAAAGAAAAAGCAAGAGAGAGATTCCACATTTAACAAGTTGTCACAAACTGCCTTCAGTTGCTGAGCTGCAATCAGAGGTGAGCAGGAACGCCCTTACACACTTCTGAAGTTTGAAATGAAAATTAAGTGCCTTGATGCTGGCTTTACACTGAGCTCTTGCCAAATCTGACAAACAGCATAAATCACTGTGTCGGTTATTTGTACTAATGTTTCTGAGGCAGCACTGCCTTCTAAACATCATTAGGATAATAAAGCGCCACTACTCGGGTCCCCACTCTCTCCTTTGTGGTTCCATAAATGACACAAATGCACCATTGCTGTGGGTTACCGTCTCCATGTGATGATTCATAACAAACCAAAACTCATTCTATAAAGATATTACGTTCGTTAAAGGCAACATAACATCATAGTTGTAAAAGTGGACCACGTGTCAAAATGTAGCTTAAGTTCCGTCAGGGAGCCTACTATTAACCCTTCAACTGTTAATTTGGTGCTTGTGATCCAATCAGCTGACCCCACAACTTTGTTTTATATCATCAGCCAGGGACTATGGGACTATGTCAGAACTTAGGGATATTAGTGGTGTGCCCAAGGCTCCATATTAGGGCCTCTTTCCCTTATATATATGAATAACATGGCAGCTGTGGCTGTTTCTCGACATTTAGGTACCCTTGGTGAGATGTCCGTTCTGAGGGGACTGATCTTTCTATTGCCTAAACCTGCAATGTGGAGGTTTTGTCTCCCCCTTCTGACAGTGAGAGAATTACACAACATAGCTGTGGACATGCTTATAACATCTAGGCTCTTCCATACCGAGTAGCTGCTGTCACTATTGCTGCTAGCATAAAACACCTCACTACCATGGAGCTAAATCGGGGCCAAATGTTTTGTTAATTTGCAAAAAAAAAAAAAAACTATAATAGAAAAACTACAACTTGTAAGCATCTATTCAAAAGGGTCTATCTGCCATATCTTTCGCATCTCACTTGTGCGCTGGACACCATGACGAGTGAATACTGCGGTGCGCTTATTGTAATTTGTGGTTGTGGAAGTCCATTCTCAAAGTGCTGCTGCTAAACTGCACAATCTGGCACAGTTTATTGCTCTTACAGTGTAATTGGTGTCACGTGTTGTCCTAAACAGCTTTTTAAACAGAACTTTATCACTGGCAGGAAGAGCGCTACAGACACCAAATTTAAAAACTCCTGTCACTATCAATACAGAGAGATTAACATGGCGGTGATAGGATAGGCTTAATAGGATAGGCTTAATCAGCAAGTCCCACACTCCAGTGATATTCAACTTTATTCAACTCCACACAACTTCTGGTCTGTTTTCTCATCATCATATAGTCTGTCAATTAGTACTTTTACATGCACATTAGTCCCTGTTATGACTCATCCTGATTTTATTCGTATTTGGGATATTATATGGAACGTAAGCAACCTAGTTATTACTATTGCTGTATAATTCTAACATTCTCCAGGTTTGTGTCTTTCTACTCTACCAGCCTGTGTCATGTCTGTTTTAAAGAGCAGATATTTTCATTGCCTGATTTTCATTTATAAGTGTGCTGGCCACATTTCATAATCCAATATTTCTATTGAAATTATAAAGCTTCAGTGCACATTTAGCCTGCATTAAGCCTCCCTTTAAATTAGTGAAGCAATTCTGATAGCTTAATAGTTCTGCATTAAGAAATTTTAAACCACATAACAGCTTCCCTTGGATATTTTCCCATTACATTTTGTATATTGTCCGTAAATTGTAAAACATTTTGTATTCTATCCATGGAGTAAGCCAGTGTGTGTGTTTCATTTCAGAGATTTTATCATTATATTCTTTATGTAACTGATCAACGCTGCATGACCCAAGTTGAAACCTTTGCATGTTCATACATAGTATCCTGGTTATGAGTCTTATCCCAGCTTTTTTTCATATTTGGTCACCTGGTTATTCATATATCTGGATATAATGTGTAAGCAGTAGCATGAGTAAATGAACCATGTGGGTCTAAAGAAGCAGGAGCCAGCAGTTTCAAGAAAGCAAGTGTCTACCCCCATGGAGTCTCTCAGCATCAGATGTGTTGTACAGTGTGGGTTTATTTATAAAAGGCTACATTTATATAGCGCTTTTATCCAAAGTGCTTTGCAAGGTTTTTGCAGCTCATTTACCCATTCCCACACACACCGATGGCAGTGAGCTACCACGCAGGGTGCTGGCCAACCATCGGGAGCAATTTGGGGTTCAGTGTCTCGTCCAAGGACACGTCAACATGTGAAGAGGAGGAGGCGAGGATTGAACCACCAACCCTGTGATCGGTGCCTCCTGAGCCACGGCCGCGAAATATTTATGAATGAAATACAGGCATTGGATAATTCAATTCAACTTTATTTACATAGCGCCAACTCATAACAGAAGTTATATCACTGCACTTTTCTTACAGAGCAGGTTTAGAGCATACTCTTTGTAATATTATTTAGCACTTGGCGAAAGTGGCAAGGGAACTTTTAAATCCCTTTCAACAGGCAGAAACCTCAAACAGAACCTAGACTCAGGGTGGGCGGCCATCTGCGTCGACCGAGAGAGAGAGACAGAGAGAGCAGAAGGAAAGGGAACACACAGAAGAATAATACAAGTTCTACATAGAGATGTATAGTGTACTATATCATCAATGGGCATGCTCCTGAATATTATGTCCATTTTTCAACATCTTGGGACCATGTTGTTTGTAAAATTTGTATTCTCACTTTAACATGTTATTCCTTGGATCGGTCGGTGTGTTTTGTAGATGGATAAATGAATAAAACAAGTCAAATATCTGCAAACTGGTGGAAAGATACTAAGACTAATACTACTATTATTTGTCATAATGGCTAAAGCTAGAAAAAATAAGGACCAGTTTGATTATTTGTGGTCAGTTTGTGCTGTCTTCTTCAAGTTCAAGTTCAAGTTTATTTATATAGCACATTTAAAAACAACACTAGTTGACCAAAGTGCTTTCCGCAATAGACAACAAATATACATTTCTTATATATAGAATATACATTCTTCACCAGCTTTTGATCAATGCTTTGATCCAGTGAAGCTGTTTGAGTTCCTGTCTCCTCTGATCAAACTGCTCTACACAGTTATGTGATGCTAGTTATGCCATTAAGATGTGAATTAATGGTAAGGACCTGTGTGTGTGTGTGTTTGTGTACAATATCATCAATGAGCATGTAATTGTGATCACAGAAAATTGTTATATTATTGTTATGTCATTGTTATACACTGGTCATAATGTTGTACACAATATACCTTGTACTCAACATTGCCATACCACCAAGGAAAATTTGTGTTCATGTTTAATGCCTTGAGTAAATGCTCTAGCCAAAAGCATTTTCACTGCCTGGAAATGTTGAATCATACATATTATGGTTGTTCAGACTTAGACATATAAAGTGCCTGTGGTGATCTGAATGAGTGTGGCAAACAAGCGAACCTGCTGTACTGTTTTCTGCCCCTGTAGAGATCACTTCTCCCCACCTATTGGCTGAGTGCAAGAGGCGGTGAGAGGCAGATTCAGGCACAAGCTACAGCTGGAGGAATGTCAGAAACCCAAAAACAGAATGAAACAGAACAGCAGGTGTGAGACTGCTTATTTACATATCGCCATAAAGAAGAATTCTGCTTAGGGCCCCATAGCTGCTTCAGCTGGGCTTGCATGTAGGCGTGCACACGCAAACACACCAAAAACAACAACAGTAACACTGGGCCATCCACCTCATCTGTCACTCCCTGCTTTAGGGACACCCACTTTGTCACTATAGTATTCATGATCTTCGGATCAGCTTATAGTCATGCTAGCAACAACTCCAGTGTGTCAGCTGGTTGGTCTTAACAAATATTTGATGGATTTCCAGGACATTTTGTATAGACATTAATGTTCCCCTCTGGACGAGATGTAATAACCTCAGTGATTTCTGACTTTTCATCACCATTATCAGGTACAAATTTAATTTGTCCAATATTAAAAAAACACAAAATGAAAACCAAATTCCTGCAAACCTCAGCTGTAAGCTCAAGCTAATTTTCCAAGGACAGCAAAACAGCAAATGCTGTTCTTTCGGAGAGGGTTATGTCAGAAACGTCAACATTAGGGTATGCTAATCCGAGGCATAATAGGATTTGCAAATTTGCGTTCAGGTCGAAGCGGTGCTATTAAGTTGTGGCTGCGAGTGCTCACACAGGTCTGAATGACATTTAACATGGAAGGCATTCATTGTACTGTTGAATGGACTTGAATAGAACATCTGCATCCCTTTTCATGGAAATGCTTACTGTGGGATAAAACCTCACTGAGCTTATCAAAAGGAACCCTGGAAGAGTTTCATAATCTCAAGAATTTCAAACATTTTAACTACAAAATGTCATGATTCTATAAATAGGCGCAACAGTTCGATATTTTGGGAAATATGTTTATGTAACTGGGTCATTTGTACAATATTGTTACCTTTTGTTAAGATAACTACACAATATCTGTCTAATACCTGACAACGACAGTAAAGATCAAAGGCACCAACTCCTTCATCTCCAATATAAATTCCTTTAGACTCCTTCACCTCTCCACTTTGTACAATTCTCTTGCTTTTTTCTTTAAGTCTTTTTTCAGATATCAACCTAATCTATCCTAATACATAAGTTTAGACATGCTTTTGTTCCACACAAAATCACTATGTCTGCCTTTATCTGTGTTGATTGTAGCATATTGGTACTGATAAAACTTGTTTTAACAGCCTTATGCTGATAAACTGTGTGTTTAAGAGTGGACCGTTTTATTTGCATGAAGGTTGAGCTTTTTGTTGTATGCCGGTTTCACTCAGTCAGCCATAGAGCTGGTAGGTGGATTTTAGCTATTGGTTGTTGTTTCCCGCTGTTTCAGGTCTTTGTGTTATGCTAATATGACAGGCTGCTGGTTCCAGCTT